GACGCCATTGCCTGGCCGAGAAGAAACCCGCATCCGCAGGGAGAGGCTCGGGTGCAGGTGGCAAGCGAAAGAGGTGAGATCTTGCCCGCCACACCCACGTGGAATCGTTTTTCTGACAAGATTCAAGACGTAGTAGTTCGTAGATATGTTCCCTTTTCGGGTTTGGTTCTTGTTGGAGCGGAACAAGGTTTGTCGGAAGTTGATGACACCCCAATTTTGAGATGGATTTTGTCTAATTGGCTTTTTTGTATCTGTTAGTCTCTCTCTCTTCACGGAGTTTCTAATGGTAAGTTTCGGCTTTTGGAATATATGTTTTGTACGCTTATCATGGGCTTTTCGGTGACAAGGTTGGCCCAGCAATACGACACGTGTCCTTTTAAAATTAGATAATATTCTTTTGCTAAACCTAGTTCTATATATATCTTTTGAAATATGACCACATGATTACATAATTATCATAACGTTAAAATTTTGATAATTTCATATTTCATAATTAGTGTGATACATCTTTGAGATGGTCATTATACATATGGAGGAAGAGGATATATATAAAAATAATTTTAGCAAAATGAGAGTATTTTGGATAATGCCCCACGAATCAAAAGAAAAAAAATTTGTTGAAACATATACCTGTCAAGTTGTATTTCAGGGCAAGTACGTCAAATAATTACAAATTTAGCGTTTTAAATAATAAAAAGCCGTACCTAATCTTGAAGTATTTTAACACACTTATATTTCGATGGTAAGATTCAAATTATAATTCTGCCCTTAATATTTAAATGTTGTGAAATTACGATTAAAAAATAAAACTAATTCATTTTTAAAGAATATTATAGAGTCAATATATTAAAAACCTATAAATATTTTTTTACAAATGTTTGAAAAATATATTATTTTACTAATTCATAATTAAAAAAAAAATATTTCATTGAAACCTCTCATAATTTTCCTGTAGTAACATTTTTAAAAGTCATGTAATATGTAGTTATGGTTATAGTTATAGTCTTATAGATATAGTTCCCGATTTAAGTTTAAAAAACGAACTAAACAGCGAACCAGTTGAGAACGAGGTCCCAAGTTTTTCTGTACGGAACGCCCACCACTGTCGGTAGAGAGCAAGGAGAACGAGGTCCCAAGTTTTTGGGGGATAACCTCTGCATCAAACTCTACATTACACATATAAGACAAATATATGTATACATCATATTATATATATATATATATATATATATATATATATATATTAAAACTTGGTTCATTTCGCCAAGCAATACACATAAAAAAACAAATATAAGGTAAGAGACTCTCTACAGATAAGATCCCACAGTGAAAGATAGCTTCGAATTTACAACTCAGTCTTTTGGACGTTGCATTGTTCAGACACTTCTTTTTCTTCTTCGTACCTTTTTTTATTTATTTATTCAGAATCTGAATCGTGAGTTTATGGATTCCTACTGCTCTTGCCCGAGACTGACTATATTAGTCTTTCACAACGGAGAGAAGTCACCATCATCATCATCTCTCTCTCTCTGCAATCAAAACACCGAGAACTCGAACAAGTCAGAAACAAAACCTTTTTTTCATTCCGAATCTCGACCTTATATGATAGAACCCTAAGGAATCTAACACGATTAAGATGATTGTAGTAGTAAGAATTGAAAACTCATCCTCCCCACACAGCATAACGGCGTGTAGCAACCAAAAAACAGATGGTATTTTAAGGGAAACATAAGAACGAATGAGCGCACGAACCATGACAAAGCAAATATGTATATACATATATATATATATATATAT